TTTAACTAGTATCTGAGTACATACAATACATTCAAAGAAAACATTTTTACGACATTTTTCCAAGTAACCCCCTTTTTTAGTACCTACCGACGGGACTACATATATTATATTCCCTGACATGATAGGTACAGATGTTGCCGTAAAGTTTAACAGCGGAGAGTAAATAAATTTGTCGCGCGATGTAATAACCTCAAATTAACGAACGCGAAAATCTCTCAAACCTGCTTAAATGTCACCCGAAGCTAGTAAATCTGCCAAGTGCAAGCGTGTGACGGCGGGCGCAACGAGTGGCTGGTGCAGCGATTGCCGAACATCGCTGTGCGCCGATGATGTGACGATTAGCGTACCGGACTGTGGTACCAAAGTTGGCGGGTTCAAACCCGATCGCAGTCGTAGATTTTAAAAAAAATCCTTCGTACGCTTTCCTTCGGAGGGGAAGTAAAGCTGGCTGTCCCATGTTAGTAGATTTACTTGAATGTAAAAGATCTCTGAGCTAAATTCAAATCGACTGTTTCTCGCCCAAGAAATACCTTCTTTCTCTGCTAGTTGGTGAAAGGAGCGTAGCGAAATTAGCGTGGTCAGACGGAAGAGCGGGCCTGATGGCCCGAGTCTCGCCACGTAAAATAAGGCATCAATTTGGAGTGGAAGCGTCGGAGCGGACCTGGAGCTGTGAAACCGTTTCCCTCGCCGCCGCCCGGAAGCGGCGCAGTGGTGCCGAGCGCCCCCTCCACGGGCGCTTTGTCCCTGGCGTGGGTGGGCTCCGAACATCCGTTCTCTGCGCGGCCGCCACCAACACTCGATGCCCGGAATGCAGGCGAGAGTCTCTCGCTGGGAAAGCTACTGGTTCGTTGCGAGACTTGCGTCAGGGGCAACGACGCTGCACAGCGCTCGGACTAGAAAATCTCATTTGTTACAGGCGAGTATGTTTTCTTTATATTTCATCTGCATGACATGCAAATACGAAAGGGACTCTGTTGCTCTGGAGATAATAAAAATGGAAGTTTTCAGTTTAAGTGCATTATTTTGTCGGATATAATTCAGTATCGGTATTGTTGTCGGAATTTTCAGTTAACTTGTCATAAGAATAAACCTACCTACAATTGCTTATTACTGTTTCCAATGAGTGCATGAAATAAAAAAAATGTCATTCCACACTATCACGTTTGCTCTTCAGCGAATTCGTTTGATGAAACAACAATAGAATTCTAAAAATAGGCCACATGAAAAAAATCATCTTGTGAGCAATGAGAAAATATTTAAGAATCATTTTCTCTAAATGTAACAAACAGATTTTAGAAATGCGTTTATAAGAATACTTTTAATAATACTATTTAAAGGTACGTTCGTTTGATAAAATCAATGCCACTTTGTTGTATTTGTGTGCATAATTTAACTTAATATTTTCTATTACTTCCAGATTCACTTTATAGATAAATACTAAGCATTGTTTCCTTTTTATGTGACACACATTTTGTGCCGTCGACTGCTGACGTCATGATATCTGACTTACATCTAAGCTGGATAATCGCAAACTGGTTTTTGGTCAAGTCCGAATTCAATTCCGACATTAATTCCAAATGCATAATCCGGATAACCCGTGCGTGTCCGTCCTTCCTTGTTAGGCCCCTTGCAGTCCACCATTTGGGCCAGCAAGTTGGCAACGCGTCTCGGTCTACTGGTGGTGAACTGACTTTTTTCGGATTTTTTAAAATTATTTATTTAAGGTGTTTTTAAGAAACAACTAGGTTATTGGCGACCACAGTTAGAAAATACAGTACTTAACATACCCAAAACATTCTGAGACAAAAAAACAAACGTGGTTTTAGCAGGAGGGGTGAGAATTTAAAGACGTTTGTATTTTTGGCGTGAACAGAGACGAGCAAGATCTCACTTCATTCCTCTCAACAAAACGAATCAATTGAGACTTTTTAAACGAATCCTTAAGGGACATCCTGAGGGAATTTCAGAAACAACTACTTTTGGGGATTTGCAACGCACTCAAAATGGTGAATTCCCATCTTTATTCTTCGCATCACAGGAATCGTTACTTCAGACATCAGATTGAAGAAAATTATTTATAATTGTGTGATCAAACACATTAAAAATATATTTTAATTCACACTTTTTCGTATTATATTCGATGCATGAGGGAGATATCTGGATATGTTCAAAATTTCTTTTCACAAATAAAATGTTTTAAATGTTTAGAAAACATTCTCGGCAGCGCCAAGCTAAGCAAGTAATAAATAATGCATTATAATAAATAAAATAGTTATTGTTCAATACGGGTTTTACCAAGAGAAATAAAATAATGTAAAGTAACAGCTTGCTTCATGGGCAAAGTTTCATGTATAATATAAAGTTAAATGTATGTCTAGAGTCGTCGTATAACTGTTTTTCCTTAGACTAACTGATAACTACTGTTGTTTTGGATTGTAAATCAATTTCTGTGACCGCAGTCACTGGTTTTGAACTAGGAATCATATCCTTGCATCCGGTATGCGATACACTTTATTCTGTTGTATATATCTAATTATGTATTCCAGGAAAATAGTTCATGTTGTAGTAGGGTAATATTTTTATATTCAATCATTATCCAATTATCAAGAATGACGATCTATATACTAATATTTACCGGTTGTTTCCTGACACTTCTCGCATCAAAGCGGTTTTAAGATAATTCTTATGTGAATTTAAGTAATGCGTTCGAATTTACAGCGTTTATGAAAGCAAGATATAAATTGGTAATGTACCATAAAAATCCATAATTCACTAGAGTCACGACGGAAAGTTTCCAAACAGAATGTTATCTCACACTATCATGAATGAAGGAATTGAAATGAAGAAAAACAAGTTAGATAAATAGACCTTCTAGATGACAACATTACACAATAATTTTCAGGAATATGCGCCTGTAAGTTGAAAACACTCAACTAGCTCAATAAAAAAATCCACAATTTTTTATATTGTTTTTGGAACAATATAATTAAATATTAATGTTTGAGATCCGCATAATTAGTTCATCATTCGCTTCAAAGATTCAAGAAGTATGTAACATGGGATGTCCCTTACCTTTATTTTAATATTTGGCAACGCTTTCTTAGCAAGGTGGTTGCTTTTACTGGCAAAAATATGTTCATTAAAATTTCTTAGTCATCGTTTTCTCTGATGTGAAGCATTGTGTTATTACACCGCAAAGACTCACATGGCTGAAATGAATATGTTCGAGCTGAAGACAGGAAGAGTTAAGAGCAGAGATTTTTAAGAGTAAATGGAACAAAACTGGTAAATGTGAGTTGCTAAATTATAAAACTTGCAATATTTTCACAAAAACCATTTCAAATTTTTTTAAAATTTTCTCCACTTACGTAGCGGCTGTAAAAATATGGTGCTAGACCTATTTTCGGGAACCGATCGGGAGTCCACGGGGCGGACATCCTGACGGGAGTTTTCGTGGTTTCTCTCGGTCGTAGAGGCGAATGCTGGGATGGTTCAAAAAGCTCACGATCACCTCTCCTCATCATCTTATTCATTATATAATAATTCACCTCATAATTCATAATTCTAGGCAAAACAACCTTGTCTTACCAACGAAAACAGCTGAAAAGCTTATCCCCATAATAACACAAGTTAATCTCTTTCCGGGATAGAATATGTCTGGCCCTCGGATGAGAACGTGCAGCGTGATCAAAAATGGCCAACATGCAAGTAATAATAATATTTCATCTCAATATTACTTCTGCAATTACATTATTTGCATTGCAGAAATTTAAAATTCTGAAGTTTCATTATTAAAGGCAGAGGACAAGAGTGGTAGACATTGAGCAAAAATTTGTACGTGAGGAAACTCGACATTGACATTAATGAGCAATTATTTGCCAGAAACCTCTAGTAGGGGGACTGAGTTGCCGCCATTACAAACGCAACCCACGGAATTACGAAATGAGGTCAGACTAATGTTTTCTTCAGAATCTTAAGGAAGTAAAGCCAATAATAATAAATAAAGTCAGGAAGGTCATGAAAGAGCGGATGCTCCCAAATATTAGAAATATATATTTGCGTATAATTGTTGAACAATTAATCGATATGGAGTCACGGGTTCGTAATAAAACAATATATTAATCTACGGAGAGTTAAAATGTAGGTTTTACATTTTCAAGGGATGTAGATTGTATTCAAACCGTAACAAAATTTTCCAGAAAGGTTTTAATAAAATATATATAAATATTGCCTCGTTGATAATAAATTAGATTGCAATATTGGCGCTCAGGACATGGAAATGATTTTTTTCCCGGTGGTTTCCGGAAACGAGATCGTTGAAATATTAGTTTTAATTGATTTAATTATTTAACTTTTGAGAAAAGCGGTTTTACTCATATGCATCACCTGCGAAGCAACTGGTGAAGATTACAAAATCAATTTGGTAATTCATAATTCTTTCTTCTGAAAAGGTGCGAACGATTCCAAATCTTCTTGAAAACTTGTATCCTGCCCATTCACTCATTGTTTATTAGAATGTTCATTTTAGATGTTACGTTAAAAGTAAACCCTATTAAATATTCTGCAGTGAAATTATTATTTTAGTATTAATATTAGTAATAAATAATAATAATAATAATAATAATAATAATAATAATAATAATAATAAACTAGCTTAACAGCAGTTGTCGAGTACTTTACGTGATTATTATTCGTCTAATGAATATTTTGTAATAGATGTAAAACATAAAATCTATTTTGTGTCTGTGACATGACAGAAATTCTCACGGACCACGAATTGCAGGTCCATAAAAGACGTTTGCGAGTAGAGACGGCTGTGAGAGAAAGGCGCCTCTGCTTGCACTGCCACTTGGAAGGGCGGCGTGCTCCTGGCCCCACGCGCCGCGGCGCCGGCCGCCGCTGCCACCCCCGCGCGCGCGTGGGTTATCTCAAGGGCAGAGTTCAGCAGAGCAATTGCCGGCGACGCCGCCGCCGCCGCCGCCGCCGCCTTCCGTCAGTTGCGGACGCCCCGGGACCACGGCACGTCGCGGCACGTCGGGGCCAGCGGAGGCCGGAAGCCAAGCACGGGAGCCTGAGGTACGCACGCGGCGAAGGCAGCCATTGCCTGCGTCGTCGCCCTATGCAGCGTGTTGTTCCTTCGGCCTGTCGTCTTCCTCCTCTTCCTTCCTTTTGGCTCTCCTCCTCCTCCTCCTCCTCCTCCTCGTTTGCTTTCTCTCTTGCCTCTCCTCCTCCTCTCCCTCCTCCTTTTACCTCTCGTTTTGTTTCTTTTCCTCCCCTTCCTCATTCTCCCCTTCCACATCCTGCTCCTACTCTTGCTTCTCCATGTAAGTATTAGGTCTTCGAACGTTTGCTGTTTCACAATCGCGAATTGTCCAGGTTACAAGTTTCAAAAATGAGATTTTAAATCTCTTTGTTGGATAAGTGAAATACAAATTATTATTTTGTGTTACATTCTTACCAAAATATTTGTTAAGTTTTTTTTTTAACAAATACAAACGCCAAAATAAAATAATGTTAAGGAATATCAACTCTTACGTCGGGGTGTGGCGGCCATATTAGAACCGTGCGATGAATTCGGCGAGTCATGTTGAAGGTGTGACGTTGGAGTTGAAACTGAAGACGACGCCATGTTGAATCGCGGACCAAATATTCGAGTTACGGGAGCGCGCCCATCGAAATGATACGCGTAGTACCTGCATCTTCCACAGTGAAGTTTCGGTGGATGCCCGAGTCGGTACCGAACTTAAGTCATAGGTTTGATTTCTTTCCAAAATAGTAGCGAACGATCTGCAACGCATTAACTCTACAATCTTTGGAAGAAAAATGTCTCTTCACAAATCTACAATGTTTGTGACTGCATTCTACCGATTTGAGATCTTGCATGTACGACTGTATTATCTTCAACCTTTTGTATAGTCAAGAAATAATTTTTAATTCTGTCGAGTAGATCTTACCCAGCTGTTCGCCTGTACTTTATATTCTCACTACAGTTACCGAGAAAACCTCAATTGTAATGCCCTGAAGATGGATTTGTAGATATTTCCAGTTTCATCAGCGTATTTCCTTGTGTTAACTCTAACTCATCTTCGATTTTGTCCTCACTCTTATTTGAAGAATGTTGATATAAGGAGTTGTGCGAGCGTTCTGAGTTGACAGTTATAGCGATTTATGCCCCACGTTAAAGTGAAAGTGATGCCAAATTTAGCATTACGTATTTTGCTCTTTATTAGAGGTCTATCTCCATAGCACCAATCAACTGTCGTTCAATCTGTATTGTCCTGGGATCAGTGCGAAGTCAGTTTGACCAGGAAATTTCATGCATTTACATTGCGTCGTTTTTTCCTTCGCGTTTTTCTACTAAACTTGTATTCATTATGCTATTTCAATTGTAGTAGCACGTACGCATAAATATAATAAAGTAAGTGCAATGATTTTATAAATAAGTTGTATTTTTTCACTTTGAGTTTTGAGACTGAATAATACTTCCATATATCGTGGCATTCCAGCGCTTCATTGGCAAAATTTTACAGCAGAGCTTCGCCCGTTTAGTAAGATTGCTCTTGATACAGTAAGTGCATGCTCGTGTGGATAAAGATCTTAACTGCTGGCGTTCTACATGTGGACATTCATCTGACGAGTCTTAGCTTTACTCATCCCATAATTTAATGTTTACAATCTGTAACAGTTTATTCAGTTATTCATTCACCTTACATGGGGTTGCTTACAGTGCTGCAACGGCAACGATGTATCTAAAATGATTACAGAGAATTCATAGTGACAAAGAATACATCGTGGGTAATAAGACACTAAAAGTAATATTCCGTACATACATTTTATTTTGCAGCAAGGTATGATTTTAAATACATAATGAAACACAAAGGGTAACAAGGATTGCAGTACGTTGGTAGAAACTCTAACATTGCGAAGCGAGGAGGCTAAAACGTGGAATTGACATACAAACACTTTTTTGTCTCCAGAGGTCATTTGCTGCCTCGTCCAATTAAACCACAAGGTCGGACTTTACGAGTAAAAAAATGCCGTGGCTTGAGGCTGAATTTCTTGGTGTCGTTTTATTGATGGTGTACGGGTCCTGTGGTAAGTATTTGAAATTATATAATATTATTATTATTGTATAATTTACATCACATGAATTTGAGCTGTGTGCAAATCCACTCACAACGATTACCACGGGAAAGAGATTCCAAGAGAATGATAGCTGCCTTGAATAGAATGTTGTTCTTTAATATTATTATTAGTAGTGTTATTATTATTAGCCTGGTTTAATCCCATTGAGGGCAAAGGCCTCCTGCATGCAGGATGGGTCGTTTACTTATTACTAATAACCTCTTTAATATAGATATCTTAAATGACAAAATGGTCGATAGAGAAATAAATTGTGATAATAATTACTTTCTCGTTGGGGAGGAAAGATAACATTATGTTATTCTGCACATAAACGGCGAATTTTTGGCAGAAAAACTCTTATTTCAAAACTCTGGTAACGAAAAATTGTATCAAGTTGCTAAATTTAGAGAAAAAATTATTTAACACGTGATGTAACCAGAATCCATGGTTTGTGGGTCCTTGATATTGAAAACTCGGAATGACAGCGAAATATGTCTGTCCATCCGTCCGTCCGTCTGTGAACAACGCTAGAGGCTAAATCATTTAGCCAATTTTCTCCAAAATTGATATTCCCTAATCGATCTGACCCTTGAATGTGAAATAGATGTTTTAATATGGGGGATTATGTTTCAATATGCTCCTGGGACATTTTCAAAAATATGGCTCTATCGTTTTTTATTAAATTTCGTTGTTGGATAGCGCGAAGGACATTTAAGAGAATAGTGCAGGTCTCAAAATTGTTGACAACCACGATGTCAAAAATTGCAAAATTTCAAACGTTTTTCCCGTCTTTCTACAAACCAAAATTCTAAACGAGAATTTTTTTCCCTTCATGAAATCTGTTCCTTAAAAATGGATTTTGAAATAAGGTCATGTAAGATTTTTCGAAAATTTTAGTACTTTTCGCGTAATTTTGTGTGAAAATACGGGCGAGAAACTACGTACTGTTTTAGCATCATTAACAGCAAAACGTAGAGTATGGGACAATACGTGTCAATGGAACAATGTCTAGCCATTGACATTCGTCTTATTTCCATGAGACTACTCGTATCATTGAGGTTCGATATTTTTTTCTGCTGCTTGAGACCAATGGTACAAAGACATGAATTACTTAATAGGTTGAAAATGTCTCAATCTCGCGAACACTATATTATTTCTATTATTATTACAAATGGTATCCAAAATTCTTTCGGTGTCAATAGTGCGTTTTCTTTTTCAAAAATATATTTCTGAATACGCCTGAAATAATTACTGCAATGTTTTCGTAAGTCTTCGACCTCTTGTCGATGCGATTAATCGTCCATTTCTCTTCATCAGTTGAGAAAATGCTCGTGGTTGGGTGTGGAAGTAACACCAAGATCTAAATAACTTAAAAAACTTAAAAAAGAATATTTAATTTCAAAAAATGAAGTACTGTAGTTAATATGACTTCATTAGATCCCTTATAACAATAATGTGCGCTTTCGCTCCAGTACAGCAATATTCCATGTTCTCCTGCCAGGTGACACGTTAAACAATCTGAATTTAATACCTAATATAGAAACATATGACCGAACAATAGTTGTTGATATAGATAGATGAGATGATACAATAGATCACATCTTCAATGGTGAATTATGCAGAAGTAATTTTCTCACAAATTGCTCTATCTTCATTACATTTTACACAACACACCTATGTTCTTGTAAAGGATGTATTATTTTCTTTCATTCTTTCAGCTTGTACATCTTCCATTTATTCTTGAAAACACCATTGTATTTCAAACGTGTTTTTGTGTAAATACGAAACGTGTTTTTGTGTAAACTTGAAGGGAAAAAAGCAAGATTTTCCGACCGTCATCGGATCTAAGGACTAATTTCAGCAACAACTATTTCTCTTTCTTCTTTTCACAGATAAGAATATCACTTTACCTATTAGTATGAGGTGGGCAATCTCATTACGTGATTTTATCTTCATTATGAAATTTTCTGACAGCGCGCCCCTGATTGATAGGCAACTAATTCTGCACTGCTGTTTCTCAGGTACACGAACTATTAGGAGACGACTTTGTTATGATTTAACCTCGACTGCCTCATAATATGTGCGTCGCCGTTACTCTGCATGCATCAAACTACTTTACAAGATTCCTCACTTCAAGAAATGTCACAAGTTTCAGAGCTGCACAATGACATGAACGCGATTCACCAATTCCAAGTGGGCATGTTTCTCGAGGGATCAGGAATCTACCTACATCGGTGCCGGAGGAGCTACGTACAAACAGGGGCGCGTTGTCAGAATGTCGTTGGTGTAACTTCCTTAAATGATTTCCTCCGCCATGTGCATTGCTGGCTTCGGCCCGGGCAGTGCTGCGCGCTGTTAAGGCCCATGCACAATGCAAACATAAACATAAGCATGACGTTAACATAAAAGTTAGAACTACGTCCGTAAGCGGTTTCATACACAATGCGTTCGCATAAGCATAACACGTATGACGTTAACTTAAAAGCTTGCAAACGTCAAGCTTCGGTGATTATGCTTACGTAAGACATAAGATATGAACCAATCACGAAACGGTAACACAAAATTGAGAATCGATATTGTAGCGAAGTCGATAAAAAAACTAACGCCATATGGGACATAGACACAGTCGATATCTTGAAGTCGATCCAACCAGACACTCTCACAGACAATAAAAACACTTATTTTGCTTACATTTATGTTAGGCATTGTGAATACTTCAGTCTATCGCTTTTGTTACTGTTATGACTATGCGCTATGCTTATGTTTACGTTTGCATTGTGAATGGGCCTTTAGCCATGATGCGATGTTGTATCGACGTGTATATTATTAAGTATTTTGATTTGTTTTTCTTTGAAATGCAGTTCACGATTTTTTGAAGGCCAGATAGAGATATTAAGCGCGTCACGTACAAAATGCACGCACTTAGCTCCTAATTAATGCTAGAGAGGGGTTGTAATTGTGGTGTTTGGCTTTGGCCAGGCGCAGGCATCATCGAGACGGACGTGCCGCCGGGGTACGCGCGGCTGGCCAGCGGGGGCTCCTACAAGGTGGGGCGCGCGGCGCTGGCGTGGGAGGAGGCGCGCGCGGCGTGCGAGCTGGAGGGCGCGCACCTGCTGGTCGTGGACAGCCGCGAGGAGGCGGCGGCCCTGCGGCGCTGGCTGCGCGGCGAGGGGCTCGCCTCCGACGCCCAGCGCACCTATGCCCTGCACGCGGGCTTCCACGTGCCCTTCGTCACCGTGCTCGGTCAGCGCTCTACACTGCTCAGCTCCAATCATTTAGTATAGAAAGGTTATTCTAAGGAGGGACCGCTTTGGCAGGCAACTAATCTGCAGACGCCCTGCACGCGGGCTTCCACGTGCCCTTCGTCACCGTGCTCGGTCAGCGCTCTAGACTGCTCAGCTCTAATCATTTAGTATAGAAATGTTATTCTAAAGAGGTACCGCTTTGGCTGGCAACTAAACTGCATATTATGCCCATGTGCTCAATTCGACAGTTTGTTCGTTACGACTTGTCATTTGCACGAAACTTCGACACATTTTGCAATGCCATTGTACGATATACTTTAATTTGTTTACCCAGCTCTCAAATTGGTAACTTTTTATAGTAATTTGTCTATGCTTTATGGTGCATCAACATCATTAGTTCCGAACATTAAATTAGTACACGTCATATCCCGGGAGTTGGCGATATTCCGCGTTCCCTGGAACGTGAGTTCTAGCGCCGTCCTAACCTTCGGTTTGCAGGTGATATCTTCCTCCGTCAGGGCACCGACCCAGTCGGAACGAACTCTTAAGTTTACCCCTTTCCTAATCCTAATAGCTAATCCTAAACCCTTACTCACAAACACAGTTAATGGAGAGAAAAGTTACCCACAATCCAATGTGTAGGTCGCCACCGGATCTCAACATCCTTTGGGGCAGAAACATCACCTCCAGGTACTCACACATTCACTACGCTTCTGGGATTAATTACCGCAGCAGTTGACATGCCAGGAAACATCAATCAAGTGATAACGTGTGTGCAGCGTGGTCCCGAAAGCCGTGGCCCTGTTTTCCCAGACTGAGAGCCCGGAAGAGGCAAACACCGCTCTCAAGATTGTTTGTTGGCACTACATCTACAAAGATCAATAATTGTGCATAATTATATTTTGTTTTTTATTCAAAGGTTTTAATGTAATCGGATTATGCATTGTTAACTAATTTTATTTAATTAATAGTTTAGTGTTGCATTATTACATATTTCAAAACTATTTTTTTCTCCCTCCAGGAGGAACTAAAAAACTCCAAAATCTATTAAGGTTTTTCCGTTACTTAATGTTCGTTACTTTTTTAACTTAATAGCTCAACACGTGTATTTTTCGTAGGCCAGCCCATTTCGAACGTGGTGCGGGAGCGATGGAGACACGACGAGCCCAGTTCGCAAATTTGTGGGATGATCGATGAGGAAGTGTGGATGCTCTACGGCGTCTGCTCCAAGTGGGAGAGATACGTGTGCGAATTCCCCGCTATTCCGACCCTTCCAAGTCCCAGGTAAGTATTATGAGGCGAGAAGTGTACAGCTGGATAAATAATTAATTAGAAAAAGTATAAAAATACTTTGCTGTCTGCGTTAGTGATCGTCCTCTAAAGAAAAGGAAATATTCAGATGTCAAAAATGCTTCAAGCATTACATATGATTGGTTTGTGTTGTGAGAAATGTGAGCGTCCATTGATATTTTAAGACATTAAATGGCAAACAACTGGTCCTAAAACGAGCTTTACCATAGTGAATCACAAAAATTAAGATACTAGATTTTTTGCAGCTTGATGTTACGTTATTTATCTTGTTACTGAATTTGTAATCATCAAATTCACACCATTCTGAGCAAAAAATTAAATTCGTTTTAAATTTGCTGCTAATGTTATCAGCTTCTGATTATAAATAGTATTCGGGAATATTTTTTTGTTATTACATAACAGAATCTGATATATACCATTAACAAAACGTGTTCATGTATATTGTATATTTTATGTGGAAGAATAATTAAATTCTACATCGATGTACACATAATTACATCTTGAAAATTTATTACCAGAAGTGCATGATTTGATCCCACAGGGATGTGAGCTTGGAACCTTGTATACACAGGTGCTCAAAAAGACTGAACTGTAGAATCAAACATATCAGCATTTGAATTATCCTACAGATGCAATGAAGGGCTTGAAATAATATATAGAAGATATTCTCAAAAGTGTTAACTGAAAAATATGGCCCATATCAACCAGCTTATCCCAAATGAACAGTTTCGTTTCACGAAGGGAAGGGGAACTATTCATGCTGATAAGAACCTCGTGGATGATATCAGGAAGGAATGAGAGCTCCGAAAGGGACATTTTCACAGACTTCACGAAGGATTTCGACCTGCTAGATAGGCAAAGGCATTTACAAACATACACGGTTCGAGAGGATTGTGCGTATAAGGGAAATGTGAAAAATGTTGAATGATACTTAATATTCTCTTATGGAGGGAAATGTAAAAAGAAATCAGTGTCAATTTAACACCTACTTATTGATCTAATTTTAATGATTCATATTTACAAAGTTACTAATTAACCAGATGTTAACGTGACATTTTATCTATTAAAAAGAAAAATACCGTGATTGAACCCTGCGGCACCTCACGCTCAATTGGTAAAGAACGGGAAGATGAATAAATAATTTTCGTCTGACTTTTTTTTTACCGAAAACAAGTTTTAAAGTCCAAAAATGCTAGTGTTGTGGTGTGTGTGTGTGTTTGTTTATCTCGTTGGCCCCCGCCCGTGCGCAGGCCGCGGCGCAAGCCCACGCTGCCTCCCTGCGCCACGCGCTCAGCAGGGCTACAGCGCGCGCCGGGCTGGCTGCGCAGCCGCCTACAAGCTGCACCGCGCCCACCACGTGGGAGCGGCGGCCAAACGCCCACGTGCGCCAAGCGAGGGCGCGCACCTCGCCGTGGTGGAGACGGCGGCCGAGGCGGAGGCGCTCGTCGACTTCCTGCACGGCCGCGAGCTCTCCTCGTTCGAGAAGCTGGTGTGGGTGGGCGCGCGCACCGCCGCCCCCGCCACCGTGCTGGGTGAGTCGCCCGCCTCCGTTCGTTCTTTTGCTGAATCCTTCCGGGCGCATCAACTGCTGGACTGGACACAAGTTCCGTTGGAGTAGGAAATGTAGTTTTTACACCGAGAGGTAGCTGCGTCCCTTCCTCCGCTAGGAAGTGAGATTCTGTGCCGACCTACACGCCACCTTCCGGTTTTTTTCTCCCTTCCGTGCGTTTTTCTCCCTCCCTTCCTTTCTCTCCACCCGCCAGCCGGGACAACCTTTAAGCTCCCGTCATGTGAGGAAGTATATTGTGCGTGCGTGGAGAGGATAGTACAAGGAAGAAGGGTAGAAGGATCCGTTTGTTACGGTTCTACAACATTTACGTGGTATTGATCGGAGAAACCATTTTGTCCACGCTACAGAGGCAGCGACTGAATTCGACCTAGCTATGTGGCTATTGTCGACTGATCTTTCAAAGTTGGGTTCCAATATGAAGCTACTACTATTCACTCATAACATAATGATTTACAAAGAACAGTACTTAGCTTCCACCTAGAACCTCCCTGTCAGAGTCGTTGAAGAAAGACTTTCAATGTTGGCTCTAAGCTAAACTAAGCCGGTAATTATCTCTTGATTCCGCGCGCGTCAACGTGTGTGGTTGGTAGCCCTGTCCAGGAGGCGGCGGCGTTTCTCCCCATGGGACGTGAGATGCGGCGCCGACTTCCTCGTCGGCTTGCGAATAATCTCCCTCTTGGCGGGATTTTATCCGCCTGGGTTTGTGCACGTCACGGAAAACGGGATTAACTGTAAACGAGAGGAGAATCACCGACGGAAGTTATACCCATCCGGGGCTTGGACTTCTCACATTTAACCATATCCCCAACATGCCCATATCTTAACCGAACAACTTGCCTTTCTGCTTCAATCAGTACCGATTTACACCAACAGATGTGTAAGACACGGTTTACTACCCTTATTCTGCAAGAATTGAGGCTGAAGAAATGCGGTGAGCTTATTATTCCGCAGATTTTCAGTTGTCGAAGTTATAATTAATTGTCTTTTGCTTGATTTACTTGTCATGCGCACAAAAGTATAGATCGCAATAACACACTGAAATAGAAAATTTCATGTCGTAGCCATGGTTTGGGCATAAGACAGAATCCAATCTGGATACTAAGAATTCGTCGATATTTTGAGCTAACTTTGTCTTTTAACTTTCGGTCTCTCAGGCATTTTGGGTATCAGTACGTAACGTATATTTGAAATTCTAACGACACTGTGAGTGAAACTCCTTCATAAGAAGTAGCATACATTGACGCGAGGAATAATAACGTTGCTTCAGGATCCCCACTATAGTTATAAACATACTGAAACATTTCCCAGTAAAACCACACTTTCAAACACTTTATTTTATTTTATTTCCGATTATTATTTTTATTTTATTTTTGTGTTATTTGCAGTTGCGTTTTAACAATGAGTGTTCCTTTTCAGGCGAACCCTTGAACGCCACGGCCTACAACCGTTGGCTGCGAGAACGACAGCACGACTGGGAGTGCCTTGCAATAGATAGGCGATTGCTCTTCCTTAGCAGGCAGTGCAGCAACGACAGCGACCGCTATAATTTTCTTTGTGAGAAGGACATCTAAATGTTTTAATCCAGTGATACAAATACTTTGAGAAAGGTGTGGTCATTATTTTATCTGAAACAAATCATTTTTTCTTGTTTTGATATGAAGAATTTAATATTTCTCCATTATACATGTGTAAAGAAGGACATAATAGTCTCTAAAAATTATTTTTTAAATGCATAATATATTTTTATTATAGTTGTGAGTAAATAGTTCTTTACTTATATATATTTCCATCAACAAACAGTATCTGTTATCGTGGAGCGTGGGAGAGCGAGTGGTTCATATACCCCCTTTCGACAACTGAACAAGCTTACAGTCGACGCCTTTAATGACATCTCGTTTGTATCAGATGACAATAAAACAGAGCGAAAGTAAACATGGATAATTTCTACACAGGACACAATCTGGAACGTCATCGATCTCAAAAATGAGACCAGAATCTATTAACGGAGTGTTGTCTAAATTGAACCGCGCTATTATTTCAGAAACTTCTGCTAACGTCATCTCAATATCGCACTATGCAGTTGGACAAACGTCCCCACCGTATGTCGTGCTGTTTTGTTGAGCATGTTAGTCAGTGAACCGTTTTCAGTTTTTGTACATTGTGAAACAATTTTACGGCTTGGGTGCTAACGATTCTACAGAAGTTGATTATTTCAATATATTTTAATACCTTATTATTTATATTATAATTAATATTATTATTATTTTTATTATAATAAAGTATAAGCTACATTTCAGTATACAATAAGTTATTGGGGCAGGGTTTTTAGTGACTAGTCTATCTTTTGTTTGTTTCCACGGTCTGCAGATGCCTATATTGAACCACGTCCAAGTTGTCAAAAATTAATCGGTTCAGTTCAGGAATCAATTATAAATGTTTTGCCTTCTCATTCATTTATCTTACTTTTGTACGCCAATCGTCCATATGTGGCACAAAACCAGTGGAAGATGTGATACAATGTACGAAATGCCATCAATGGGCTCTCGTAATGAACGATAAAATTTGTCCAGAGGAGAAAATGTATCTTTGTGCAGACTGTAACTGAGTTGCTTTCATATTATTTTTCGTGCATTAAACACACATTATCTCAAAATATTGTACATACTACTCGCGACGTTATTTGTTTTGCTCTCGAAAAACGTATACTACAACGGGGAACCATTATGTCGGATTTCTCGTATTGACCAGTTCAATCATAAAGTAAATTAATATTACATTCTTGCTATCAATATTCAGTATTTCCAAAATCAAACTGTTTAAAATCCCCTACTTCACCACATGCACGTTTCCTTGTCTTACTCTTACTTACTATCCTTTTAATACTTTTCACTAACTGTGGTCTTTCTTAGAATTCTAAGGAAGAAGGTATAAAACCTATTGAAAACTTATTCATGGAATTTGAGCATGGAATTATTCAAGAGAAATGGAAAGAAAGCGTATTTATCCCAGTTTACAAGAGAGGTAACAGAAACAATTTCGAAAATTACAGAGGAATTGCGCTCATGTCATTACTGTATAAAATATGGATGAGAATTATAAGATGCAGACTGGAAAGAGAAGTAAGAGAGAAGGGACTATTTATCTAAAAATATCTTACAGGTTTCAGAAGTGGTATGGGAGTTACAGAGAATATTCACACCGATTTACACATTGAATTATATTATAGGAAGGGAGATAAAAGTAAGGGAGAGAAGCCAATGGGCTGTATTTATTGATCTGAAGTCAGCCTTTTACAACGTGAACAAGGTAAGGCCGGACACATTATGTTAAAATCAGGAATTGAAGATTTTATTATTGTATGTTTAGATGTGGAATAATTGAGAGAAAATGCTGGGAATCTGAGCAAAGGGGATGAGATGATAGTATTGTTGATTTATTTTCAAGTTGGGGGCAAATATTTGTGGCTGAAGAAAAGGTGGAAACTGGAAACTGTATACATGAAAGATATTTAAGAGGATTCTAGTGAGATGCACTAAATATTCTTAAAATATATTTTGACGAATAATAGCTACTTTTAGAATATTGATACCCGGAAGCAGCAATATCCAAGTTGTATAATGCATTTTCAAAGGGGACATCCGGTAGTCATATTGGACATGGCGGAAAGAAAACGTAAATATTGCAACAATAGTTACAGGACTCTTGGATATTCGAAGCTGGAATAATATCTGGCTTTGGATATTCATAACATAATGTAAACACAGTTATGATTTGGTGCAAAATATATTTTTCTATTTTGGTAGCGTCATGTGATGGTATGCGGAAGGTAACAATTAATGGTGACACGTTTTATTGCCGGTTTGGAGTCTGAACAGAGTAACTGGCTGCCGCCATTTTAAGTACTTTAACTCACAAATACAATTGTGTTTACAAAATGCTGAAAATGTGCATATGAACGGCGTGAATGAACAGTCAAAATGTACATTTGTGAAATTTTGATAAAACAAAAGACTCAGAAATGAACGTTACGTCATATTAAATAGTGGATTTAGCACTATCCGTTCATAATGTTTGCAGAAACCCTTTGGGCGTTTTTCAGAAAATACTGTTATAACGTTTCTAAAAATGTGGAGTTTGAGCCTTTTTTCGCAGACAACTGTTGAGTTGATATGATTTTTTTTAAACTCATGTACCCATAAATATAATAATGTGAACACATTGCCGCTGGTATAAATAATAATGACATGAGAGATAAATAAAAAAATACATTTTATATATTTTAAAAAGGAAAAGAATAGAGCAATATGGTGTTTATGTCATCTGATAGAGAACATTTGGCAGTATCCCTACCAAAAGTTTAAAGAAAAAATTTGGAGCAGTTTGTGAAAAAACTTTCAAAATGTCCGGAGCGTTTCATGTAAAATGCCCCCAAATTTTAAAGAATGTTTTTCAAAATCTTAAAGCATCGACTCGAGCCAGATGGTCAAGGGTTTCTTCAATTTGGAAAAAATCATACTCATGGTTTAGGCGCTAGTAGTGTTCACAGACACCAGATGGGTGTTTTAAAAAGGGGATCGAAAAAACAAACTATTTTTCGATATCAGGGGATCTCAAAACGTGTATTTCCGTTGAAATCTCGAAATCTATTTTCCACAGCATTACATAACTTTCTCTTTCCTACGAATATTACTCCGTATATGGGAATGTAAATCTAACTATTATTTTATTGAATCATTGTGTGCAATCTTCGTACGAGTTCAGCTCTATTATCATCATCAGTTGCAAGGATTAGTCTGTTTCAGCTCCTGAAAACTTTATATTATTATTATTATTATTATTATTATTATTATTATTATTATTATTATTATAGTAGTTGTAGCAGTAGTAGTAGTAGTAGTAGTATTTATAGAAAACTAATGATACCATTGACAATTATAATCAGTTTGAATGAAGCTGTTTCATTCAGCTGCTATTTAGAATGCTCGTTTAGTAAAGCTACTGATGACTGGATAAAACCAAAATATGAAATATTGCAGAAGGATGATGTGTATTTTATACTTAATGGATGCTTCATTTATGTATCAGTTGTAATCTCCATTACTAACTTCCAATGCGAGCAGGCATTGAAAAACAAATACTATGCCAATCCGGCCTTTCAAGAGGTGTCTATGATTTCGTTTGACACCCGAGAAATACGGAAAGTTCCAAAATCTTTTTTATTAATAATTTCCGATGACCATAGAAATTGAAAGGAAAGTATGCTGCATCTGGTGCTATAAGTGTAGTCGATTGCTTCGTCAGATTTCACAATTTTAAAAGCACCCAAAATTGGAAGGAAACAATGCACTCTCCAGCCGCGTCAAACCTGCCTAAGGATGAATTAGATACAGAGGAACTGAGAGAAAATCCAAAAACAATGACACTACATTAATTTTAACTCAAAAATGCAACATATAAATGGTTTTATTCCATCTATTCTTATTGTACTCATACCGACTGAAATACCATTTTCAGTGCATACCTGCTTTCTACACAGCTGACATCAGTCTACAGCAATACTAAGAGGCTCTCACCTTAATAATTTGCAATTTACATATAGATTCGCAATTTTTGTTTTACATTTAGTTTGTAAGGAACACTTACATTTTCTATTCTACATTATTGTAATTTTCATGAAGACTTTGTTAAAACATTTCATTAATTACGGTGTTGTACAAAAGTATTTTATTAGTTGTTCTTGAACATTTTGTGTGCTACTTTTCGGAAAACCAGTTTGTGTGGTTTTGTTCAGTAGCATTTTTGCTGATTCGTTCCACTACTATCAATTTCAATTTGCGCCCTCGCTTTCGTCCGCCGAGATTTTAGCAACGCGTATCAATTTGAGTGTTCCTTTGTTATCTCCAGTCGCGGACATTTCCGTTTCTGAGAACTGTGGGAGTCGCTGATAGGTAGTGTTGTATCTATCTTCCTTAGAGTCGAGGAAGACACTGATGCAATATGCCTTATATCTTCCTTAGGGATGTGTGAGACACACACAAGTAGACTGTAGCGTCGCTCGTTAAGAAACATACTTTCGATTGACCAATTTATAGAAATTCCTATAAAGTAATATTATTGGGAAATCAAGTTTTTTTTAGATTTCCTTAAATAATATTTGTTTTTGTATTCACAATCTCCCACTTAGATATTTGCGGAGGAACAAAATGACTGGGTCAAGTAAAAACGTTCTTCATAAAATAGCAGGACAACACTTGTACATAAACGAGGGTTTATTGGGGCCGGGCGTGGCAAATACTTGCTAAATCAGCTGCGTTCACATAAGTCTTGATATTAAATTACCAGAATATCAAAAAGTAATTTCCTTACTTTTCTGTGCAATACTGACCACCTATATCAATTCAGTCGTCAACTGCATTTTACCTGGTAAAAGGTCATAAAAAAATTCTTCATTGAGTATATTGTCTGTGCCCAGACACTAGATAAAATTTTCCGAGTTTTCGACCTGCCAAACCCTGCAGTAAATTAGGAGGACCGAAAATTCCTATTTTTTATGTTTTTGATTTGTCTATAAATTGTTCGCCTAGAAGCCTGAAAAAAATTATTCAAATAGATTGTAAAGAGAATAAAATTTCCTACTAATTTTGTAATTTCCTACTAATCAGTTACCAAGCGAGCTACATAGGGAACAGCATTCGTGGTTATCCGGGATGAGCCGCGTCTCGGTCAATGTTACTAACGTTTCGGCCATCTTGCTGTGACCTTCTTCAGAACTATACCGCTGCAGTATAGCGCCCACGGAAGCCTGCGAACCCATACATAAGGAACTGATAATCCCGCAGGACGACTTAAAGAAATTCCCAAAAAGTGTTTGTGTTTTGGCGCTGCGATCATAGTGGTAATGCCTGGAATTAAACCAACGCTTCCTAAATCAATCTATTTAGGAAGCGTTGCTAAAATACCAAAACCCGAAGGTATTTTTTGCATAATATGCCTTAATTTTCTTTCTCGACCTTGGCAACACTGATGTCGACATCTTGAAGTGAACAATTGAATTATCAAGTAAATGTCCCTGCATTGTTTTCAATTTAAAGTCGAATTATTATCGAATTTTAAAAATAAATTGCGAATACCTACGAACACTATTGCCTCGGAACTTATTGAACTTGAATTTCAAACGAATATAGAGAAAACAAAACTGTGATTAATGCTAGAGAATGAATGGACGTTATGTTCGACTTCGCACTTTTATGTTCTTACATAAATGTGCATATTCTTTTTTTTTTCTTCTTTTTTCTTCAAATGAATGTGACCACAATTTTTTCTTATTCAATTTAACTATCACCTTATTCACATAAAAATACAAAAAAATCCCTTTTAATGTTAGATTCACGTATAAAATTATTAATAGAGCAAACGCAAAAGTAGAAGTGAACACAAATTAGTCTGAGTTTATGAAGTTTTACCCTCTTCAAAAATTAGGGGAGAAAAATAAGGAAATTTTAAAGAAATCCTAGGAAGAATCAAATGTAGTTGTAAAAGATGTTGCGATACAATTTTCGGAACTAATTTGGAATGATCTGTATTTTTGCATTTAGCATTTGTGCTAATGTAAATTTGCAATGTGCATTTTTGTGCATATTACCATAAAAGCGTAAAAATATATCTGTACTAAAATTTAAGTATTAGCATCAAAATATGTATTTGTTATGACGAATATAATTTTGAAATTCCAATATAATTATATCCCGTATGGAGGTAACACACAAGGCCATTGGGTGTTGGGAACTTTTGAACGGGAGTACAAAATATAAACATTATCAGCTACTAAGATTCATTGGTAAGTCCAATGCCAGATACTGAAAGAACATATTTAAACAAAGCTGGACATAGAAGAGATGAATAAAGAAAGAAATTTTGAACACATGATACTATTTTTAAAACAGTTTACAGCGTCGGCGACGCCACATTTTGCTAATATTTGTAGTATTGCTGTCATCAATACAATTGATTTTAGTAAGTGTACCACTGGAATCCTGCGTTAATTAAGAAATAAGTGATGTCGCTTCTCATTCGGTTTAAGTTTATTGAAAACTGGGGCTGTAATGATGACATACAAATAACTTTGAATTGTTTTTTACAAGTTTTTTTTCCAAAATAATCAAATGTTGACGTATTGTTCCTTACTGCATTATTTTTACTAAATTTTACAGTGAATTTTACTTTAGATTACAATGTAACGTTGCAGCCTCGAAGTTTTTAATTTTAGTATGATAAGGCTTGAGACGCGTCTCCAAGGAAAATTAAAGAAATACAAACTCTCTCCCCACACATTGAAAGAGAGATATAACAACTATTGTTGGTGTTTCTAAAATTGTCGTTAACAGAATTTTAAAAAAAATTGATCAGAAGAAACCCTTGGAATCAGGTCGTATGGGAATCAGGGGCAGTAAAAGGATTCCTAGGGTCCGTACTAATCGTAGAATCAGAGATCTGTCTCAAAAATTGTAAAAAGAGCCTGTATGACTACGATGGTAAACGCCAAGAGAGAAGCAGTTTCCAAAATGGCAGTCGGGAGTCTGTTAGCCGAAGAGAACTTGATCGGTCGTCGCCCCACCAAAAAACCACGCCTCACTCAGGCCATGAAGAAGCAACTGCAATGGGCCAGACAACACTGAAATATTACTATTCCATAACATATACTTAAAGCACAACCATGTTATGTACTTAAAGCACTAGTGCATTTCATCAATATTTTTTTTGTAATAGTTTACAGGAATATTTCTCTAAAGAACCAACGTTTCCGAAGTTCATTTGTCCGACGACGCCCTGGAGAAGAGTTCCATCCAGACTACTAGTGGAGATAATGCAACTCACGGCTAGTGTCATAGTGTGGTCTATGATCTCAGCGAGGGGCATATATAAATCGCCTGCGCCTATACATTGTAGAAAGGACCATGAGGCAAGACTACTACAAGCGAGTACTAGAAACTCTTCTAATGCCGGAGCTCGAAAAATGGTGATTAAGCTCTTATGATTAAAAACACATGTTTAGGCACGATTGTCCCACAAGTCAGGAGTATTACTGTGTTCCTGGGAGAAAAATATTACCGTTTTACCCAGGCCTGGGAACTCACCAGTCATGAACCCTATTGAGATGTGTGGGAACTCACCGAACAGCCGATCGCAAAGCAAGTGATCGCCATCAAGAAACAGTTAATAGAAATTCTCAACAAAAATTGCATCACAACACTGAACTGCAACAAAATGCAACATCCTGTGTAGAGAGCTTGCCGCGACGCATTGAAGCTATAATGGCGTCATTATACACTAGTATTAATTTTATCTAAAAATAGTTTTACCAAAATATGTTATTGTTTTTATGATTTTAATAATACTTTCTTATGAATAAAAGAAGACTGTGCGACCAAAAAACAATAATTTGTTTGAAAAATACCGTTAAAATACAAAACAAAAATCTTAGCCCGGTCCCTAATAATTTAGCCACATGCTGTATACATATATAAAATATATTTGATTACACCGCCTAATTATTTGAAGAAGAAACGGACACGTCCTAGATCTTTTATCGTGAGGAAATGATACTTTCGTCTGTTACGGATTCTCGAACGATTTTATAATTACACTAAGGCGAAAACGTCTGGGATGTGGGACTGGGATAATTATTTGCAGCGCGTGAGTTTAATTGTAAACACTATTTCAGGCATATTTTTATCTTCGATACTCTGGTGACATTTTTTCGAACTCAAACACGATAATTCTTACTTTTTGTTGCTGGAATTTCATTTTAAGAGATTTCCCAAATCCTTGATACGTTTTTCAGAATTGAAAACAAATATTGCTCTTCCAGAGTTAGACTACGCAACATCTTCATTTTGACACCCTTACACTGTGTGGTCGTAAAGATAGTCTCGACTCTATTTATCTTTGTAAAACCGCCTCTGTACAAATTTATCAGTGAGCTTCCGCTAAGTTCGTCCCGCGAGCCGCATGCGGGAATGGTCATTTTCCTGCGGGACAGCCATGGCTTCGGTTGCACGGGTTGTGATGGCTTGGATGGTGACCACAAGTGTCACAGGTAAGAAAAATATTTATCATTTCCCAACCCTGATATTTGATGTTTATGGATTATGCCCACGTTTCATTAAATGTCGCATTATTATATCCAATATAATAAAGCTTCGGGCAATAGGTAAAATGGCTCATCATATCCGATGAAATAAATGAGTGCTGCTGAAGTCAATATAACATAATTAGTCTTAAAGGCATAGATTACCTATCTATGCCTATGAGACTAATTATGTTATATTGACTTCAGCAGCACTAATTTATTTCATACAAAATAGTCAAACAATGGCATAAAAAGCGATCGGATAAGGTTGCGCCTAGTATCTCAAGTTCAATGTCTAATAATTTCATCCCATATTTTTATGATCATTCTATTTACCTTAAATTCCTGCATTTAGACCACATTCTTCAATATATTTCTTTTGACAATTGATTTATAATAACTTTTTATTTAAAGTTTCTATGTTAAATTCTGAAATAAATAGTTTCAAAGCACCAACATTTTCCATTTTTCTCAGAAATTGCTCCATATTTTGCTTAAAAATTTTCACATACAGAGAAAAATACTTTATAAAAGTGACAAATTACTCATTTTCGTTGAAATTTCTGATTTTTCTTTTCGAAAATTGCAAAAGTTAAAATTTTTCGAGCGTCTTTGTACAACTGCAATATTGAAGACAGACGTTTACACTCTAAATCTGTTCTTTAAAGTTGTATCTTTAAATGAAGGCCGAGCACAATTTCTCAAATCTGAGTAGTTTTATCAAAATGTGCAAGAAATATAGGCAATATTAAAAACACGATTTTCTCGAAAAGGCCTTTAAATTTTTATTTTTTCTCATCCTACATACGTAATATAGAGTAAGGTTTGTAATACTGCAGCGACTTTTTATTAATCTTTGAGCAAGCTTATTTGCAAATAGAACTGGGTTTTTCTGTTGTATTACATTTTTAAGCATAATTAAATTATACCTCAAAATTGAAAGAATGTAAAGAAATGTCGTACAGGCGCCGATGAGTAGCAGCTTGGAAGAGAATGGGGCAAATCTAAATAGCTAGCTTAAATTCTAGAGAATAGAAAACAAACTAGTACCAAATAGTCTGTGTCATTATGTAGCATCACTCGGATTTGCTGGTTAAAAATAGTATATTCTTCGACGAGCGCATAATGATGGCTATTATTTACGAGCTGATATGTACGACACGAGCGATGTAGGAGCGAGGGCAGTAATTTCTAAGAGTGAATAATAGAAATTGTGCGCGAGTAGGAGACTATATTTTCTCTACACCTTGAAATATTTTCAGAATAGATTTTGAATTTTTTATTGGAAACCCAAGTATAAGGATTATCTACATCAAACAGTGTATGTACAATGTGCTTCTTAACATTTAATAAATCTTCCATAAAGTAGAGGGTTTACACTGTTGAGAAAATTTTATAAAGTTTACACTGTTGAGAAAACCTTCTTGCCAAAAGAATTCATCCTATTACTCTTTCTCACCTCCATAAAAGTTGTATATGTGATTGTTTATAATCCTTACTTTATTTTTTCTGGCACTAATTTCAGGTGGAGTACAATTGTCACTGTCATCGTAATCAATTATGTCGTCAACGTCCTGTCAATCATTGTCACTGTCGCTGGCTTCAAGATTAATTTTCAGTTGAATGATCAATGTGAAATGAAACGAGAAATACGAGTACAACAATGTCTAGGTTGTGTACATGAAATTGCGGAATCTCTTGTGTATCTCTATTAGAAATAATTCAATTCTACCCGTGGATTCCGAATTTTGTAGGAACGCGATTGGTCGCCTGGCGGTGGTTTCCGAAATGGAATGTCACCACCGGGTGTGTAATTGATGTCATTTTGATTAGCACAAATGCATATCAATCCCATTTAGTTCCGCATATTCTGTCGCAACCTCTTTTACAACTACATTAGATTATTCCTCTAATTTCCTTAACAGTTCCGTCTTTGAATCCCCTAATTGTTTAAGAGGTTAAAGCTTCACAAACCTGGTCTAATTTGTATTCACTTCTTCGGCAATTGCTCAATAATTCTGTTGTATGCGAATCTAGCGTTGCAAGCGAACCAAACATTAAAAGATGACATTTCTGAAAATGCGACATTTTGAGTTAGTTTTGACGTTAAATGGTTGAGTTTTTATGTATCACTATTTACAGCACAAGTACTCATAAATATAATAATTTGAATAAATTGTCGGAGGTGTAAATTTAACGACGAGTGAGACATAAATAAAATTTGTAATGTTTGAAAAAACAAAAGAATAGAGTAATATGGTGTTTGTGTCATCTTATTGAGTGCATTTACCACTAGCCCTACCAAAAGTTTAAAGAAAAAAATGGATCCATTTATGAGAAAATCTTTTCTTTTTTTGTTTTTTATATTTGCAAATATTGCGCACTATATTGCCCGAAAACGATTACAATTTTCAAAAAAATGTGCATGTAATGAAAAAACTAATTTAAGACCACAAATTTCAATTCAAGGAATAAGCTCTTATCTTTAATTTTGCGGTTGTTGGAAGACACCGAAAAAACTAGGGGTGCTACAGAATGACACAGGCTTTTCCGTATTAGTTTTCTATTTCTATTGGCCTAAGCTACCTATTCAGACTTGCCACGTCACCTATTCCCTACTGCCATCTATCGCCACCCAAAGTACATTGAAAAATTTACTTAATTTTTTGGCTTCTTAATAGAAGAACAGAAATATTATTTTGAGAATATCAAAGAACAGTAAAACTTCGTCCTAAATGGCAATTTTCATTGAAAAATTTCCTTCGCATGGTTAGGCGCTAGTGTTCACAGACTGACAGTCAGACATTTTGAAAATAACCACTTTTCCGGTATCAGGGGACTCCAAAACGTGTATTTCCGATGAAACCTCGAAATCGATTTTCCGCAGCATTACATAATTTTCCCTGTACTATGTATATACTCCGTAGATACGTACATATACTGGAAACTAAAAATCATTCTTTTGAAATTGTGTGTACTGAAGTGAATTCTAAGCTTACTGAATGTTTGTAATAGTAACAAATAGTTTTTATTACTCAAAGGTAAATACATTAGTTTTATTGTTTTTTAGCTCGGAATTGCCTTTTTTTGAGGTAAATAAGAACACAAATAATAATCCAAAACTTTTAGTGTACAAACATTTTTCAATTTTAGCACCCCAGCAAGGTGGCGCCCTGTCCCTTTATTCCTCATCTGTTCCTCATAACAATACAGAAAAGTAAAATAATATTGCAAAGAGGATGGTTGTACTTGCCCGATCCTGTATTTTGCATGGAAAACTTTACTTGACTTTCTCAAGAGTAAACACCTTTTCTAATATTTTTGTGACTGTCAAGGAAGATAGAATAATTACTTCAAATGTTGTATATAAAAAAAATTGTTTCCAACATCAATTGCATTATTTTTACTTTTATTTTTGTTTGTAAGTACGAAGTTATATTTATACATTTTTAACAAATAAACACGTTTCATTAACCACTTTCCTTCTTATTGAAAAGTATAGGGAAATAGTAAATTTTAACATGGGAGAGTTCTCTCACGGGTACGCTAGTTGCATAAATTTTAATTACTGTACTGATACTATTAGCCAAGCGATAGTTTTGACAATGTTTCGCTGCCAACAGTGCGCTGCTCGCTTGTTGGATGAATTACAAGTTTTCTAATACTAGCGGAGGTGTTAGTAACGCAGAAAATACAATATTTCAATATTACATAGCTGTTTCTAATAACACGAGAAAGTAAGTGCAGTTGTAGTATCACTAGTTCTTTCTGAACAAATATATTAAATATTTTGTAAACAATTAACATGTTACCTGTTTCTGGAGTGTTTCAATGCTTTTCCTATCAAATGTTAGCCTTGAAAGCAATTTTTAAACCAAGTTTTGAGTGCTTATTGCGGCTCAACCATTTAGAATATCCCATTGGACAAAATATGCCTAAAATTGTCTCAGAGCCTATTTTAGGAGGTTCGACGTTTCTTCCCCGGACACCTGTAAATGAGGGATATTAGAGACAGGTTTTTATTACATTCAGTTACCATCTCTCTCTCTTCCGGAACATTTACAAACCCCTTTCCCCGCCTAAAATTGTCTCGTGTTTCTTGGTGAAGTGTCTGGGGCCCCGCTGGCGGCCAGCGGCGCCCGCTTGCGAGTGAAGGCCGGAGGCAACGCCACGTGCCCGTGGCAGGTGTCGCTCCTGGACGCTGCTGGCGGCGACGGCGGACGCCAGCTCTGCAGCCGGGAACTGAGCATCTCCTTCGGAGGTGAGTGCTGCGCCTTGCCACTCGGCCTCCGCGAAGCGCCGGGACGCTTCGAAATTGAGAAAACGTCCCTTCACACTCAGCCACCGACCAAGCGCCACTGAGCGTGAGAAAGGAAGAATTCGTGAGTTTGGGACCCTTCCCACGTCGCGACGGCGGTGCGCTTCCGAGCACTTCGTAGCAGAGCACTGGTTTGAATGGAGGCCTTCCCACGTGCAGCGGGTGGCGGCTGCTGCGGCAGCCGACGCCGAACTCCAGCTACGCGAAGCGGCCGAGGGCGTACGCGCCACCGCTAGCTAAACACAGCTTTAAATGGGAGCCTTCCCACTGTGCGGCCGGTCGCTGCGTTCTACCTGCTCCGGTCCCTTTGTTCGTCGTCGCCGGAGGGTCGGCGAAAACTACCCCTGCAGAACCCACCCCCTTCCACGGCGGGCGGCGGTGCGGCCGTGGCTGCGGCGGTGGCGTCGTCGGAAGGGCTCTGCTGCTTGACGGAAGCGCGCCGCCGTGGCGACGTGGGAAGGCGCCCTTACCGTTGAGGCCGCAAGGCAGTCAACATGTTAGCAGCTAAACTCAGTGGCGCTTTCGACTGGCTTAAAATCTTTCAGTAGACCTGTTCTTCAGGCAGTGCCGCGGAAAGGCGTCTGCTGAAGCTCGGAGACTGCCAGTAACCATTTCAGCAGCGCCACGGTGCCGCTCGTGTGGTTTCTTCTGTTTGAAGCAATGTCTTGCCAGTAATAGGGGCTTCAAAGCACTGCTGAGTGTATGGTCGCTAAGCTACCGTGGCCCCAATCCAGGTTATTGAAATACCATGTGCGATCGGGTACTGGTTCATGCTGATGCTAATCCGAGGGTCATAAAGGGAGGGGAGGTAACAGCGCCGATGCAAGAAACCTATGCCAGGGCTGCAAACCCTTTGATAAACTGGCGATGTGCCTGATAGAACCTTCCGCAATCAACATATTCACAGTGTAACGAAGCATTTCGATGCGATATCTGTGATACCCAGAATATTATTTTTCTAAAATAGATTTGTGATGCTGCTATTGAAATTACTGGTACCTGCACTTTCGTACAAATCATCAGGGGATTAGCTTGAACTTAAGTGGCAAGTGGAACATCGTAAGTCAAAATTTCTCTTGCCAAAATCTGAACAATACAGGGAATGAATCGTCGCATTAGAAGATAATCAACAATTACATCCCATACTCAAAACGTCTTCACCCCTGCGACTTCATGTAACGTTTTATCTATACCATTCAATGATTCGTCCGATCTTATCTTACGCTTCTCCTATCTGGGCCTCTGCCAGCAAATCAAATCTTCAAATTTTCAAAACAATGCAGTTTACCAAAATAAATTCCTCCGAAGCATTAGAAAAGCTCCCTGGTTTGTACTTAACTCCATTCGAGGTCAAAATTAATCATATTTGAAGTTTGTTTGTTCGTTGTTGTTTTGTTTTTTTAGAAAAATATTTTAAAAAATTAAGAATTATTTATATTCTCACACAATTACGGGAATCTACTCACATTTTCGGAACATTTCGAACATTTCGGAACATTTTCGAAAAATCAGGGATGTCTACGAAAATGAGATCTTAACCATTTCCTTAATCGTCCACCACGCTGAGGACGAAATATAATCAAACTAGTGGTGCTACAGAATAGCACAGACTTTCTCAAACAAGTTATTTTGCTAATTTCTTTGTAGTTTTTTCGGTTTACTAATGAAAGAACCGAAATATAATTTTATGAAGAATTAAAGTACAGTAAAACTTCGTCCTAGAGCAATTTTTACAATTGTAACATTTGGAGCAGTTTTTAAGAAAATGGCGTTTAAGCATTACTGTAAATACGAAATTTTAAGCTCTTTTTCAATGAAAATTTTTGAGTTTTCGAAAACCTTCATTAGAATTCAATTAAATCACTTTCATTTAGTATAGCAGCAATAGTATTTACAAATCGCTAGAAATGTGCATATTTATAGCGTTTTGAAATTTTCGAAAATTCGGAATTGGAACAGTGAAAATTTGACCTACGCCATCTTGTGTGTGTATTTTTTGAGCGTTTTTCTCCATTTTTCGAAAGTTATAAAGAATATATGTGAAGCCATTTTTGAGAAAATTTTAAATATAACGCAGGGACCTCTTGTAAAGTTCCCCCAAACTTTAAAGATAGTTTTTCTAATTGCAGCGCCTTGAGTGGAGCCAGATCGACCGGGGAATATGCGTTTCGGAAAAAACGTACGGTTTCAGAGCTAGTGGTGTTCATGCATGGACAGACGTTTTGGAAAAAACGCTTTTTCGGCATAATTGACCCCAAAACCTGTATTTCCGTAGAAATCTCAAAATCGGTTTTCCGCAACATTACATAATTTTCTCTATACTACGCATGTACTCCTTATATACGTATGTATACGACTAAGTAAAAATTTGGTGCCATTTGTTTGAAAATGTTGAAATGTCTCTGGGCCTTCATGTAAAGTACCCCCAAAATTAAAATATCGCTTTCAAATTCAACGAGTTGCAACGTATGCCAGATTGAGGAATACCAATACGTAAATTTACAACACTAGTATGAATATTCCCTCACCCAAAAAAAATGAATTCAAATTTTAAACTCAATTTAATTGGTTCTCTCGAATAAGCTGAATAACTGTTCTACCAAGTTCTGGAGTAATAACGCAGTTCATTTTCAGTCCTATTTCGTTTCTAAATTCAGCCTCATTAACTTTCAATCTAATTTTCCAAACTTCACAACCCTTCACACCCCTCTAGGACTGATCTGGTGTGCGTTACATACCCAGCAAATACCGCGCGGTGTTGCGATCACATGACGCTCTCGCCATATATATAAATTGACATTCAATTACGGTTTACTGTATCTTCATTATCCTTTGCGACTTTATCGCTTGGCGTTTATAATTCGTTTCGCGAGCAATATGTGCTCGCTTCCAAATTCTAGCACGTGTACCGAAGGATTAAAATTTGTAGCGTAACAAAAGGCATAGACAACTGTGTATTATCATGATCTGAGAAAAATGTGCAAAATATGCGTCAATTTTAAATTTCACAACTTATGTAAAAATATTCTTTTAAGTATTCAATATTCTAGATAGAAGTAAAATATGCACCATTAATTGAAAAAAGTTTCAACATGCATTATGAATAAATGTGTTCAAAAAGGTACAAAACATGCACGGTAAAAGTAAGCAATTTTAAACGGAATTTCCCATAAAAGTTATATTTACAAAGTTTAAAAGCTCCGTGAAGCTCAAATAAAAATATGCATTCGCATGGAAATCGTGTCTGTAGTGGTAAGGACAACACATGGTTTGATGCCGTTTTTCGTAAAGTTTTAAGATATATTGCAACCGTTGCTCATCTGTGATAAAGATGGCAACGCCACATTTGAATAGCGCGGGCAAGAAGTAGTGAACCTTATAGACAGACGTTCTGAGAAATGTTTGAATTGGGGTGTCCGTGCCGACCCTTCGGTCGACGAGATAGAGGTGGTGGGAACAAGTGAAAAGGAGTTGAACGTCAGGGCCCGGCAACTCTCCATCAAAATCGGGGACAAAGCTCGAGGTTGCTACTATAGGAAGCGCTAGTGTCGCCGGGTGCAGCTGCAGGTTCGGCTCGCCAACTTTCCCACATACAAATTGGCTACTTTGTGAGCAATACGAAAAATGTCTTCTAAATGTACAATTATTCATAATCTCTACTTATAAAAAACCTCTGAAGAAAGCGCGAACGTAGACGTTATCTTTTGTAACATTATGATCCTGCTTGCGACCCGCGAACTCACGCAGCAGTCACGCACGTTTAAAGTATCATTGGCAGCAGTTCCTGTTTTAGTTCCTGTAAAGAAGGTGATGCAGCAGAGCGCGCCACCGTATTGGGCTCCACCACGTTATATGGGAGTTATAGGTCCCTGTTGAAGGTCGTACGCCAGAGGAGACGGTACGTGGGGAAGATTAGCGAGAGCTAGGCGTGGAAGTGCACTCAGGAGCGAAAGAACTTTATGGTGATTGAATCGTGGATCTGCAGCCACAAGCTGTGTATCAGGGCTCCGGCTTTGAAACGGCCACTTTCGCGGCGCGCCGGACTGGAAGCCGCCAACACGTGGGCCTGGAGAGGACATGATTCGACCCGATATCACGGAGAAGGACGACTCCGATGCACAAGACCACGATAAATACTCCCTCTAACGAGTATTTAGTAATAACCTTGCCCGAGTGGATTGAATAGGTCGTAAATGAAATGCTGAAAATACGGCACTTCTAAAAAGTTTCTATGAACATTCGGGGTGTGAATAGATATTTGGAGGGAACTTCATTATGTGCTTGTGGAATTGGAATTGTGGGTGGAGGAAGTGGAATTTAATCATTTTTCTAATAAAATGGTTTACTAATGAAACTATAATTGGGTGTGCAACAATATTCAGTTAAGAAAAAAAAAACATGCCAGAGAGCATAAATTTGAGATTTCTTTGTGCTGTAAAGATCTCACGTTGTTTTTCAAGAGAGAGATTGTACCGATTTAAATGTTGTTTTTTTTGTTGTGTAATATATTTGACTATTTTGAAGGGGAATATTGTGTAATTTTACATGAAACACTAATGTTAAATTAGATGGGAGGGTAAATTTATTTTATCTTCTACTGATGTTATTGAAATTAATGTTCGTAACCTTGGAAGAACTTAGCGAATTGTGCTTGATTAACACTCTATCATGGCCAAAGTGTTACAAAGACAGTATAATGGTAAAATAATTTATTAAATTTCGTTGTTTTCTTTTAGAAGAGAGAAGAGACGTGTGAAGTGATTTTTGTTATTGTACATAGGACAATTGTTGTTTTTTGTTACAATAAATGTATTTAAGTTTGGAAATTTTCTGGGTAAACACTTCCCTTTCTAATAGGACAAAGAAAGATCCACGATCCTTAAAGAAAAATATATTTTCGAAATTATTTTTTTAACTGTTGATTGATAATAGATCATAGTTAT